AGGCGTTGGCCTCCAACTTCCTTGCGATGGCCTCCAACCTAAAAGCGGGCCTTTAACTTACTACTTGTCACTTTTGTTTTGCTTGCGCATGCTACCTACCACCTACTAGCGACGGCCTCCAACCTTAGGCGCTGGCCCCCAACTTCCTTGCAATGGCCTCCAACCTAAAAGCGATGGCCTTCAACTTACTACTTGTCCTCCTGGTATCTCAGGTCTTTTAACTCAGGCCGGCGTGTGGCACCGCATTCACATCAGTACACATTTCTATAAGTGCGCGCGCGCATGTTAAAGTCGCTTACTTGTGTTGTTTTTTTTGGGCATTGTGCCTTGTCTTTGTTGAATGGAAGTGAAAAGGTAGCTAGGTTGGAAAAGTAGCAACAGCGGACTCAGTTACTACTCGGGTTCTTCACTTCAATATGCAACATCCTGGCAGGATTTTATCAGTTATATATAGATGTTCTGTACCGTCTGTACTGCAACTGTTTGGCCTGCGCAGCAGCCTCTGCAGCATTGGCGGCTTCCCGAGCTCGCCTTGGAACATGTGGTCAGGCTAATCAGGGAGCCTTTCAGCAAAACGGTTTGGCCTGCCTTACGGCATCGATCATCTGATCAGGGTCCGCGAGCGATGTGGCTTGGCTTGCCAGGGTCGCAGCCTTGCATTGCAGCACTTTCCGCTTGACAATATGCAGGGCCAAATATGCAGTTCACTCCTGAAATAATTAAGAGTACAGCATGAAAACGCATCATGTGCCTCCAGCGCGGCCCTGGTAGCCTGCTCGGCCGCATCCTGTGTCAAACCGTTGCGATTGTTTGGCTGTCCGTGCAAAGAGCTAAGCCGCCAGCCTCCACATTGATTCCATGCCGTTGATCTTGTGCCCCAGGATGGGCCTCACAGCTGCAAATTTTGCTGCGGACAAGGTGGGCCGTGGGGCCGGCCTGTTGCTGTTCCTGGGCGTCACCTCAGGGCAGTGAAGAAAGGTGACACCGAGTTCTTTGTAAAGGAGCCCTTACATCCTTTTGATTGCCCTCACTCTTCCTGCTCTTGCTTTTGAAGCATTGCGCGCTTCTTGAGGTGTCTCAGGACTCGGCCTTCGCACTCTTCATGTGTGACCATGGCAGATTTCACATATGACAACTTGGGAAAGTTCTTCCGCAAATAGGAATTCCTCAGCAGAATGCATCTAGAATCTAGAATCTAGCGTGCCTAACGATTGGAGGAGGATGGAGGAGCCAAGGCACCCTTCAGATTGAATCCGACTTGTGTCCTTAGCCCGACTCGCCATACCACACTGCTTTTGAATGAAAAACTTGACACTGTGGCGCTTCCGAAGCCACGAAGATACAAGACAAATCAGGACGCAGCGCAACAAGCAGACTTAGTCTGTGAGGAACCAAGATGCGCCAGGGCATGATCATAGTGTCACATGATAACAAGGAGCAACAACAAAAGCAGCTAATGCTGGCAACATCCTGGAAAGCTCAGCCCAGGACTGGGCCTTCGCCACCAAATTCTATGATGTCACCTTGGCTAAGCTCTCATTGCAAACGTCTCTCACAAGTTCAGTTGATACTTTCTCTCACCAACTGAGGAAGGGGAAGTGCAAACAAAAAAGAGAGAGAGAGAGAGCCTGACGTTAAGAATGTCAATCTCCTCGACAAAAACTACATCAACATAATGCCAAGAAGCATATAATATATATATATATGTGTGTGTGTAACTGTACGTTTGTAATGTGATCGATACATATACGGTGATCAAATGAGGTGAGGCTGAAGCCGCTAAGAAACAAGACCACAAAAGATACAAAATGATAGAAGCAGGGAGCATGGCAAGGCACAATTGAGTTTGGGAATCCAGGTGCTCAATTAAATGTGATTCATCTCTGATGCTTCTTTGACGCGGTTGCAATACAGACTTGCAAAGCACACACACCAATGTGTGTGTGTGTGGCGTGGCTCAATGAGCAAGTCGTGTCACCGTGGTGATCTACCTGAAGCTTCTATCATTGATGGGCGATCCAGGCAAAGACCGGATCAGCACTCTGCCTGCCATGCTACGAGCCACTCTGAGGAGTTGCTGAAGGAGATCTGGCGAGCTTGGAAGGCATTCAGGATCCAGCAGCACCGTGTGTGGCCAAAGAACCTCTATGGAGAAAATAGATCTGGCGCGACTGCGCGGAAAAAGAAAGGAACGAATAAAAAAAAACGGATAACCCCACATGATAAGTTTTACAAATTTCAAACGTATATGAACATCACATGGGAGACGGAGTAGTGCGATGAAAAGTCAAGAACGAAGTGTGAGGAGAGAAGGTATATGAGGCGGTTGTGCTAAGACGTGTAGTATAAGTGATGATGTGATGGACGAGGATGAGCAGGAGGGGAGGGAGGAGGTGTGTTTGTGGTAAGATGGCGTCCGTGTGTGTGTGTGGGTGTGTGATAAAGTGTCTGATGATGTGATGAACAAGGATGAGAGGGACGAGAGAGAGAGAGAAGGAGGCGGAGAGAGAAGTTTGGAGGCTCTGGATTTTGCGATCAGATCCGCATGAGACCTTCAAACGTAACACACTCGAAACGACCATCAAAGCTATCAGGTGGTCTTATCCCGACCACGGCGGGCAGTGCTAGCAGGATGTAAAGCAAGAAGAGGTGAGACACGCTTTTTTTCTGTCACGCAGAGATGTAGAGTGAGCTCCAGGCAGGACCTGAGCTCCGGTCAACTCGCACGATTAGTCAGTGAGTTCAAACCGAATATATTTTCAACACTGAAGGCTTCCCAAACGACTGGACATGATACAAAAAATCCGAATAGGAAAGACAGATACACAACCGGCTGCAAATGCAATCGGCATTTCACAGATGTTGAAAAGAAACATGTCATGAAAACATGTAAGTAAGTGAATCAAAACATGTCTGCTGCAACCACGTGAGTTTTTGTGATGACAACCATTGCCAGAGAACTTTCAAAACAAGATTCAGAACGGTCGTGCAGGCTAAACTAGAGAACTGCAAATCACAATGGCAGTAGCGCAGAGACAGGCTTCACCAACACCCTCGCCGCAGCATTTACAATGCGATTCGCAGGCATTGATTGCCCTGGCTGTGCAAATCACAATGGCAGTAGCGCACAGACACACTCTGCCAACTTCCGTGCCGCAGCCATTACAATGCGATTCCGAACCAGTGAGAACCCTTGCTGTGGAAATCACAATGGCAGTAGCGCACAGAGACATTTTGCAAACATCCGTGCCGCAGCCATTACAATGCGATTCCGAACCAGTGAGAACCCTTGCTGCGCAAATCACCATGGCAGTAGCGCGCAAACACACTTTGCCAACATGCGTGCGCAGCCATTACAATGCGATTCGCAGGCAATGAGAACCGTTGCTATGCAAATCACAATGGCAGTAGCGCACACACCCGGGGGGCGGGGGGGCTCCGCGCGCCGCAGCCCCTTCTACAGGCTCTGGAGACTGCGCCCGCCACTGTGGAGAGCTGGGGGGGCCCAGCGGCGACTCCGCGCGCCGCAGCCCGTTCTGGAGGCTCTGCAGACTGCGCCCGCCACTTGAAGGACTTGCACGTGCCAGACAACACAAACCGAAGCGCGGAAGAGATGAAGATGCTCATTTGCATGAGGAGTATGTGAAGATGCACACGCTTGGAGAAGCTGATGGTGTTGGTGTGGATGGTGATCTGTTGAGATGATGTGAGTGGGAGAGGTGAAGAGGATGATGTGGAGCTGTATGTGTGTGTGAGGGTGGTGATATGTAGATGTGAAGAGGATGATGTGGAGATGCGTGTGACAGCGAGGAGGAAGGAAGGAGGGAGGAAGGCGGAGGAAGGCGGACGGAGGCGGACGGAAGGAGGCGGGCGGGATGGCAGCCAAAAAACTAGAACCCCACACAGAGATGTGGGGAATGAAGTGAGTCGGGGCGCATTGAGTAAAAAGAAATTTGGGTCATATGATATATGAATTCATATGACATATAGCAAGATGAGATGAGACCAAGTAAAAGAAGCAACCCTACATATATTGCTCAAGACCTCAGCTAGTAAGGTGCAATGAGACCTAGTGAGGTGAAGCGACAAGAGCTGACAAAAGAAGTGAGGTGTTGGGGCCAACAGCCGGAGGGCGGCTAGCCTTTCTTGTGCCCACCATTCTGTCTAGGGGATTCTAGGGAAGGAGCAATGGCCTAGGCCTCCTACACTTGGAGGAAGAAAGCATGCAGCCTCGAAGGCAAGACACTCTTCATGTGCCCTGAAAATCAAAGCCTGGAGAGCTGAAGTGGGGCAGCTCCGCTGCCATAATTCATTGCACGTCCCCTTCATGATAATTCTACTGCACATATGCCAGCCAGCAGCCATAGGTGGTGTCGATCAACTCCAGAACATCCAAAGAGCTTTCCTCGACTGCACCAATGGGCGTCTCCTGCTAAAAGCCAAGAACAGGAACAACATGAAAGTGCCAAGAATAACATTAACATGAAAGAGAATAACATTAACATGACAGCAAATTCCAAACGTCACTTGGCGGTCCCACGGCTTGTCGCCAAGACAGTGGGACATATCACCCACGCAAATGAAAAGAGTCGACCGCCTGGAGTTGGGGCCTTGGTTCGTTCGAGAAGGCCATCGTAAACATTAGACCAGGAAACGCACGTCCCAAAGAAAAGCCCTGCCTACCGCTGCGAAGCTGACAGCACCCAAAAGGAAAGGCACCCCTGCGTGGAAAGGAACGAGAAGTGGAAGCAAAAGCTCACCGTTGCGGCCATGAATCCATAGTGATTGCAGTTGCGTGGCTTACTTGTGGTTTGCGCATCAGCGAGGTGAAAGAAAAGCGCGCATCATTCCCACGAAACGCATGCCTGTTGGAGGATCATCAGGTAATGGAGACCAGCTGCGCTTAGGGGGCAAGCCAAACTGGACGATGCAGCCCTTGGCCACAAAAAATGCCCCAATTGGCTCGCAAAGCAAATGGCTCGCCTGAATTGCGCGATAGAAGGCCAAGTCGGTCAGATCTCCAGCAGAGGCCAACTCCATAAATCCTTACTTTGAGAGGTCCACAGGGTGCAAAACTACCAGGTAACTACCCCTTCCTTCCACAAGATGATCACTTTCATCCACCTTCGTTCCTTATCTGTGCCACAATTCGTTCAGCTGAAGGGCTTCGAGCACCATGCGGCGCCCAGTCATGACGGATGAGGATGTCAATGACACCTGCGGTCGTGTCCAGCCTGCGGTGCCGAACAACGAAGGGGAGATACAGTTCATTCCTTTTTAAAAGGCTTTGCATCTTTTGGCACTCACCTGCTGGGGGTGGACAGTAGCAGCAAAAGGAAAGAAGCATTCAATAGTGTTCTAGGACGGTTCCCGCGGTGATGTTTCCTCGACTTTCATGTGCCTGTTGTGCCTACTGCGTCATTCGTGCTTTCTGCTTTCCAAGTCTGGCTGGCGCCTCACTGTCTGCACCACCGGCCTTTGTTCCTGCAAAGGTGAAAAGAAGTAACAAAAAGGGAGAGATCGTAAGAGGTTGCCTCTATGTTCAGCTTGGGCAGCTGGATGGGCCCCCTGTCCGCAAACATGTACTGTAGGCGTTGCGAGCAAAGGCTGCTCAAGATGCCTGGATTCTTCGGCCGCATCTCGTGCCCGACTGACATCCTCAATCTCCATTGGGTCTGGTGAACTAACGATTCAAGCTGCCTCCCTCGCAACTCAGTCCTCTGGAGCAACTGCCTCATCAAACAAACAGAAATCAATCATTCTCATGATGATCAAAGCATGTACTGATGTCCGACCTCCAGCACTTTCAACTCCCAGTCATCAGATCCTTCTGGCTGAAGCAAGGCCTAAAAATGTTTCGAATGTGGCTGGCACGGTGCATTTCAAGAATCACAGTGAACTGAGGCTGTTTCTAGAAGGCTCCCACTTCCACAACCATCTGGCACTCGAATTTGAATCTTTTCAGAGCCGTGCTTGACTGGCCTGACCGTAAGGAAGCAGCACAGCGCAGCCAGTACAGAATCATGTCAGCCCTCCAAGGCTGTCGAAGTGATGTTGTGCTGAGCTGCTGGCACACTCAAAACCATCCCAGGCAAAGCCTCAAAATCGTGCTCAAAATACGACTGTTATCAAAATAAGTACTGCTCAAAAGCTCTTTGACTCTTTGACTACAGCCAAGACCCTGGCGCCATCAGGCACAGGAACTTTCACCTGCCATTTTGGCTCAATTATACATGCTACGCATTGACCAATTATCTTACCACTGCTGACGCCATCAAACTGCGTTGAATGGTTCAGTTCAGGCCTGGTAGTTTCGCCTTGTTGTCATGATGCAGTTCCAGCCTCATCTGTGATAAATAAAAATTCCCGACCTCCAGAGCTTACAGTAATAGCGATGATGGCCTCCAACCTAGTAGCTTCTAGTTACTAGCGGCTTCTTGTTACCCGCAATACTAGTAGTATTGGCCTCATCTGTAATTCCCGACCTTCAGAGCTTAAACGGAACGCTTTGCTGCTACAAGCTTCGATTGGTTGAGCTGACTCCAGCACAATGTCAAGGCTTTGACCACCGCAGCTTTGGCGATGAGGGAGTACAAACCTACAAAGGTAACAGAAGGAATAGCGGATGGATCTTGATGGTCTATGTCCATAACTGTGCTTCCGACACAGTGGCAGATCTTCCGATTATGTGTGCTGTTCTTTGTCATCCAGACCTTCTATGATCACACTCGACTTCAGTTTTTTCTACTTCCTGCGACTACTATTTATATATTCAGACATACATATATAATATATACCTTGCAAAGCTTGATTAATTTTGGTTGGGCCGCTTCTTTCACCCTCAGGCTAATGATTGTGCTGTTATACAACCAAATCTTCTCACCATATAATTCAATGCAATTGAGCTGTGCTAGTGACTTAGTGTGGGGCATCTTGCACGCGAAATAAGCTTCGGCCAGATCCAAACAGAACACCGGCACAACAACTGATTGCAAAAGCAGCCCAACAAGCCGCCGCAAGGAGCCTACCGATCCGTTCAATTGTCATATTATTGCAGTTTCACGTATTTGGTCCTTCCGTTCCAACAGATCCAATTGTTTGAGCGGCTCACGCCTGGGAAGCTGCAACTGGGACGTATCTGTACACCAAGCCCGTTGCTATCAGCATTTCAAGCTCTCTACGAGATATAAATGACACGACATACCTGACATACATACCCCACTGCATTCAATCCGGCAATGCCTGGCACCATCTCGAAACTCCTCCCACGATTTGGTGAAGAGTAAGTCTATGCTTGTACAGCACATGGTGGCGGTACATCATGTATCTCGTGGAGCTATGAGAAGTGCATCAATTGTTGACATCCGCAGCTGATCTTGAAACCATCTGCGATGCTGCGTGGACAATTCCGGGAAAAGATCCAGTGAACTTCAGGCTGAGCTGTACAAAAAGGGCTAACTTGCCCAACCAAGTGAAAGTGAAAAACGTCTGCTTCGCATCCTGAACTCCACAAGCAACTCTCTGCCAGCATAGACTTTTTACAATTGATGACTTTTCTAGCCAACGCGACCAATAACAATCCAAAGTGTCCAAAGAGTCAAAATTTATATAATGTCAGCAAGAATCAGCTGGTCTGCACGAGTGCCGGCACTCTTCAATCGAAGCTTGAGTGCTTGTAGCTGAGACGCGCTCTGCCTGCAACACGCACGGCTCCCTCAAATCAAGCATAATAATTGATTGCCACAAGAGCTTCAGCGGCGCCAGTTTCATGCTTCAGCGCATTCAACGCTCATCTGCCCCGCCACGCCTCATCAAGTTCTGACGAAGCCGGCTGTCCTTGCCCTTGGATGTCGAAGCTGCAAGGCTAACTAACTCTTCGAGTTGGCGGGCTCACGGTGTCTGACGTCTTGAGCTACAGCGTGTATGCAGTGTATGCAGTGTATGCGGTATGTTTGGAACGGACGCGGTGTAGGTTTACATGGGGGTACACCGGGTACACTGTAGTGTCGCCGAGAGGCCGAGCCCGTGCACCTCAGTTCTTCCAGCTGCTTCAAATGTGCAGACACAGCAGCTTCGGAGACAACTGCATTTCGACCTCGGGCATTTCAATCGGATTTGAAGATTTTGAAGGGAAGGTTCATGATTCATGCTCAAATACCGTGCCGACCGTACATCACAAGCTGAACCTTCTTGCAAATGCGTGCTTCAAGAGACGGCTTTGCTGGATTGCTTCTTTGCATGCCTGGAGGTTTGTGTCAAGGTAACAAGGCCAGAGCAAGCTGCAAAGCAAAGCTGCGAAAAAGTGGCAGCAAAGCCTCAACCGCGCTGGATGAGACCTCTTTGAAGAGCTCAGAGTCTGGCCCTGACAGCCTCAGGAATGCTACGGATGCAAATGGACTACTAATGACTGGTCGGATCCTGTCAAGCGGCTGTAACTGCTCAAGTGAACGCGACGCTCCATCCAACTGGGATACTGCTGCTGCCAGTGTTGTCAGCTGCTCCGAAAGCCTATGCGGACTGTGTGGAAGCAGTGAACAATGTAGACTACATTAGACATTTCAATGCCAACCAACTGCATGCGTCAGAGCTTCTCCACGTAGGAGAACATGATCTGGCGAGACGTCTCTGAAAGACAATCTGGGAGCTGATCCTAGGGAAAGTGTCGGAAAAACTAGTAAAAAACGTGCAGCGTCTCTGACTGGACAACATGTTACTTCGGTCCTGGTGCCATCGCAGGACATCCTTGGCAACATCTAGGATTTCCAAAATCAATAGCACACGCCAGACGTATGTACAAATTCCCTTTCCGGCGAAGACACCATCGTCGTCCCATGTGTTTGACACTCTTCAACAGAGAGGCCACAGTCCGGTAGCACTTCTCGCAGCACGGGAGCTTCACAACTCGAGTTGCAAAACTCAGGGTCACCACGAAATTGCAATGCCTTGGCTGCTCGGCTCTGTGTTTGGTGCTGTGGTCCGCTTCGTAATGTTTCGAGGACGGCAATCAAACTGTGAGTTTTTGACATCGACACGGCACTTCTCGCAATGCCACCTTTGGCAAATTGTGCAGCGATTAGCAGGTTGATAGTCGTCAGCCTGGGGTCATGCCATGGTAGCAAAGCAATGTGGAGGGCAACGTAAGGCTATATACATACATAATGTAAACAGAGAAAAGTCCTACCAATTGCTAATCCAGGCACTCTGGATCTGCTGTTGTTTGTCACTCTGGCACTGCAGTGGGCACAAGTCTCGCCAGGTTGTGTAGTTTCGCAGAGCTGCTTGTTCGCCTGATCAGTGTCTTTTGCAACATCAAACGGGTGAAAAATGATGCTGCGTAGAAACCAGTGACTCGACTTCCCCACCCCCAAACCTCCACGAAGTACAACAACTGCTCTGCATCTCCGCCACCAATAATTGACAGTAGCCAATCCTGGGAAGCCAAGCGCACACATAATGCACCAACCACTCTCCACCAACTTGCTGCTATGCGTCCAGTCTTGATGGCATGTCATTTTTGCGCTTCCTGGGTTTCCACTGCTATGCTCTGATCACCGTCGCAAGCATCTAAGCCAGCTAAGCACATGGCTCCAGGTGTGACTTTCGAAAGCTGAGAAAGGATTGAGTGTGGTCCTTCAACTCTGGCAGCAGAACATCGGGGCAATTGGCAAAGCTATTGCAGTAAGCTCCTGTCTGATGCCAGGGGCCAATGGAAGTGGGTGAGCCGCATACCCAGCAGTTCTGGAAGCTGACACGTCAGAGACATCCGCCCTGAGGGTGTTAAAAGCAAGCCAAACATTGTCAAAACGTATAAAAAAACATTGTTTCAGCGAAAGCTACCTTCCCGCCAAAAGCTTTCCTAAGCAAGGTCTGAGGCACACTTGTGACGGAGTTGGGGCATCTGGCTGCATCATGCAGTTCATTCCTTCTACAGGCTCTCACCACGCCCCAGCGGATACAAAAGTGATTGAATGTGCTTGGCTGTTTGGCTGTGAAATCCAAGACATGTCACGAACTCTGAGGCTCAGTGATGATGCATCCAAGCTCTGAACTACCCCGCTCATGACTCCAATGACGTGGTGATATGGTCCAGAAACTATTGCCCACAATGCTTGAGCAAAATTGAAAGCACCAAGCCGCGCCAAGAATACAAAAGCACTAGATGATACTAAATGCAAAACAGCGCTGCTAAGTCTCCACCTTGGAGAACTGGTGCCTTTGGGTGCCAAGTTTTGCCTTTTAAAGAGTGCACTCTGTAATATGACACGGCGCCAAGGTCAAGGCTAAAAGGCACTCAGAACCAAGTCGCCACGTAAATAAGAGTCAAGCAAGGCACATGCGTTCGGTTTCAGTGTTAGCAGCAGAAAACATCGTGAGAAGCTGGGAATGCACTTAAACTGCTCCCCAACCAGTTGAATTAGAAACAAACCTTGACCTTGGAAAGTCAGCTTTTTCAATCAAGATGGTGCAGCACACTTGCCTCACATGCCTTTGTGTGAGTACTGTACCGTACCAGCCTTCCTGGCTCAAAGGAAGCCAGCTGGCCGTAGCCACTTTGGGCGCTGCCATGCATGAATGATACAAAGAAGAGGTGGCATGGAAGAGAAGGAGATCTTGGTCAAGTCGTCCCGGGCGTTGTAAAACTGAGCAATCAGTGACAGTGCAACGTCAGTGCCGGCAGCAACGCACAAACCACATAACAGTCACCGAGGAATTGGTTCGTTCTGAAAACCTCGGTCTGAGTCCCAAACTCCAGGAACCCACGGCTCGGTGATGTCAGTTGGTGGCGTGCCAGAAGCCCATGGCGGATAGTGGGCATCCGGGTATTCTACACCGTGATCCAAACCAGGACCTTATCACGCTTCAGCCCTTGGCAACACTGAGACGACAGATAGAAAGTCTACTGAGTTTATTGAGTCTCTCTTGTCCAATCATTTGCACCTCCTCTGCACCAAATCACAGCTCACGTTTCTGGAAGACTTGAGAGCCTGACCGGGAGGAAGGGCCCCACCATAGCCGCCAGCGTAGAGTGGGAGCGTCGTCCCCACTGCGGAAGCAGGTCCCCTGCGCTTGGCGCAAGCGCAGATTCCTTCGCTTCACCAGGCAGCCCCAAAACGAATCAGCCAAGGAGCGCCAAAGGAGGGAGCTTTGGCAAAGAATGCCCCAATCCAGCTCCAAATGTAGGCAACCTGAGCTTGTCTGGCATTCAAAATCTACTTGTTGGGGCAAGTGCGTTGGTATAGCCAAAAATACATTCCGCAGCACAAGCACGGATCCAATGGTCCAATTTTGCCAGGATCTGGTGGAGGCAAGTAGGCAGGGTGAAGTCTGCTGCCACCTACCCCAACCTGAACACAATTAGCTGTCCAAAACTAAAATGCATTCTAGTAGCAAGTAGCACGGGGCAGTTTACAAAGCATTTTTGAAAGTAGGAGCTGGTAGTACGAGTCATTGGTCGTGAAATCCTAAGGTCGACAAAAAAGCACACTGGTTGGTTCTGTATGCACATGGTTGAGGCCTGTTGTCTGGTCGCGGTGGTGCTGTGGTCAGGCCGCGTCAATGCCAGAGCCTTGAATCTGCAAGAAGATGCTTGCCATCATGACGCTGGCACAGTGCCATCAGTCTCCGAAAATGACTACCGTTAACTCCTAATACAGTGACTAATATATAGTGTATGTGGAAAGCACCTCATAGACTCACTCTGTGTGTGTGTGCTCCCGAATGCTTAGCGAAGGTTCTTGTTTAACTTTTTGGGAGATTGAGGGTCGAGCATTGTTCGCGCGACGTTGCTCGCAGCCGATTGCAACCGTCCGCAACCGTCC